CTGGCCTGTAGATGAGTGTAAACTGCAGAGTCCTGGCCTGTAGATGAGTGTAAACTGCAGAGTCCTGACCTGACGACGTAGCTCGTCTGTGCTGGTTCATTCTTTTAACAGTGGCTGTTTTGTTTCCCCAATGTATGACTGATCACAGTCCTCCTGACACTTAACAGCATATACTATATTGCTCTGTTTTTGCCGGGGAACTGGATCTTTGGGGTGAACTAATCTTTGTTGTAARGTGTTTTGGGGTTTGAAAGCCACTGGGACGTCATGTTTAGAGTGAAAACATGAACATGACATCCCAGTGGCTTTCAGTGTGAGATGTGGCACACTGTTTCAGGCGACTTCTCACTACTACTCTCTTTCTTCACGACTCCAGGACACTGAGGCACCTGTGAAAACTCAGCTTATTTAGATCTAACTTTTGTTGCACGTTCAGATAAACACCATGGAGACAAGATAATGCCTGGTTTGTTGCTGCCTTTCTGATAACAGAGGACGCTGGAGTCACTCTGCTGTGCTTGCAGGACGCATGTGAACACCTTTAGCCAATAGCTGTCATMCTAATGCTGCACAAAGACACATAACTGAAATTTGTCAACATTACACCTCAATTACACACCAGGACCGACGTAATAACACGTTTTATAACAATAAAACACGTTTTCAATGTAAAGACATAAACTTCTTTGTGTTTTACCAATATCTTTAACATCTGAGAATTCAAGGACAAGGTGAAAGTAACAATTCACACCTGAGCTACCAGCTGGATTTTCCATTCCTCACCTGAGGCAGAGGGGGTGTGGTTATGTCCATGTGACTTCGCGTCGCCATTGACAACAGTGACGGAATGTTTGACCCACTCCCGTTGCCTTGGGAACCGTCTGCAGAGGCTGAACCCCCTCTTCCAACAGGATCCTCCCACCGAGAGGATTTGTCTGTCAAATGGCTGTGGAACGAGAAACATGGTTACTTTTTTACTCATCCTGGTCTGGATCAGATTATCTGATCTATCTGACCACAACATTAACAATAAACAACAACAATGAAAGTTTACTTAACTTTTGTTAAACTTTAAATGATACATACTAGGTCTGGGCAGTGTGACCTCAAATTCATATCACGGTATAAATTTAATCCCTTCACAGTAACGGTATATATTGCGGTAGAAAATGATCATGAAAAGCAAAGATAATGTAATTTTTAGAGCTTTTATTTGGCAGAAAACTGTAATCATGGTCAAAGCCAGTATTTTTGCTGTAGTGCAAATGAACATAGAAGTACAAAAGAATGTTTTATATATATTGCAAAATAAATAAATAAATAAAAAGTCTGTCAGCTCACAGGTCAGAGCGTCTCTTATCTGGTGAATTAATTATCTGATGTGCGCAACGTTCGCTTGCTCTTTAGTAAATAAGCCATTTTATTTATTTTATCTTTATTTCAACAGTCAACAGGCCGGAAAACAAACAAAGACGCTCCTCCCATTGCACGTCTTCAGACGCGTTCTGTCTGACAAGCAGCCAAAAACTGACGTCAGGAGCATTTTTGTTGCTCAAGAAGCGTTTGGTGGGAACACGGCTTTATATATATATATATGTGTGTGTGTGTGTGTATTCACCACTCGGCAGACACAACAACAATCTATAAAGATCAATAAAAAATATAAAAGAATAAACCGTTGCTAGTATAGGAAACAGCGCCCCCTATATTTCCGGTTTGCAATGGCGCCATTTCCATATATGGTATGGCTCGGGCCTCTGGCACGAACCCGCCCCTTATGTTTTGCTGCAGCGAGGTGTAGTTGAAACATACTTGAAGTCCCCTACTTGAGGCAGAACTTCACTCCCAGTGAGAGCTGGAGGTCAAGGCACAATGGTGCCAACAGGACCGCATCCTTCGCAAACAAACAGAAAGCAAGGCCACTGAACCAGACTCCCTCTTGTCTTTCATTGCTTGCTTTTATTGTGCAGGGACCAGAACATGTTTCCTTCTATCGTGCAAACGTGAATTGTGTTTTAACAATAAATAAACAAACCTAACGTGTTGCCTCTGTGTCTACCTCAGTCTCTGTTTTCGTTACACTTTAATATTAGCATTCATGCTATTGCTAAACCATATTTTCCTTCTTTTTCTTTCATCATGATCCTTGACGTCTTCCTGCACAGCTTGAGAATTCACAGCAGTTCTTTGAAAAACACTGCCATTATTGTTAAGTTTTACAACAAAATGAAAAGTTTTTTTTATGAAGCACAGGCAGTTGCTGGCAGCTGCTTCCACCAGTGGAAGCAGCCCATCAAAATAAAAGCGGTAACACTCGACCGTTTAGTGTAGCGACATATGGTTTATAGTAGGGCTGCAACAACGAATCAATAAAATCGATTATTAAAAGCATTGGCAACCAATTTCTTTATTGATTTGTTGTGTCATGCGATTTATGCATCCCTCGCCATGTCGCAGAGCCGTTTACGTCACCCGCAGAGCGTTGTCAGTGCTGGCTTCGGGGCTAAATCTACCATTTGTTTCCTCCTCTCGGCTCAAAAATATAAAAGCCCTTGTGACTGAGGCTCAAAGTTCTTTGTTAAGCAGCAAAAAGTTTCAGGACGAAGGAATAAAGACGCGAGCAGTAGTTCTGCCTCAGTAGGGGAGAGGGGATGTGGGGAGGAGGGGGCTGCCTCAGAACTGCTTACTGGGTCACAGAACACTGTTTCAGTCAGACAGAACCAACAAGAAGGAAGCAAAAAGTAAAGAATTAGAAAAAAATCATAAATACTAAATG